TAATTGACCTCGCTGTCTCGAGCTCCATCAGCCGGCAATAAAGAGTAGTTAAATGTTAAGGTGGGGGGGCAGAGGGGGGGCGAACGTTCTCTACATTAACAAAATAACGGAGCAGCTTATTTTTCATATTCAGGGTGAACTCCAGTACGTGAGGCATAATGGAGGAGAAACATCTGCACTGTGTCCCCTCAAGGTCATAGGTGTCTGTATGTGTGTGTGTGTGTCTACTTCCTGGTATAGCAGTTCTTACGAGGACAGTTTCTTTTCTTTTTTTAATGACTTTTGTTTTGGAGATGTCTTACAGGTCGTCACTGAGTCCGAGGATATTTGAGATTAAAAACTGACTTTGGAGATGAGTTTAGAATTAGGGGCAGATTAAGATTAGGATTAGGATTATTTGATTTTTTTCAATTTTAGGGAAAATTAGAGAAAATAGTTGGAGCTAGTAAGGCTGTAAATTGGCAAGAACTTTGCGATACGATACGTATTACAATACAGGGACAACAATACGATACACCGCGATAAAGTGCAATGATATACAGTATTAATCAATTCAATTCTAAGAAATTTTCATTTTTGAGGGTTCAATAAAAATCTGATCAGACTGAAGGGAACGCAGCTCAACACTGGACAAAGGTGTGATTATAAAACTGGTCAAATCTGTCAGAGACACGAAGACCAGTCTGAACTGGTCATTCGCACCAGACACCTGTCTGGTGACCTTTTGACCCACCGTCCTAAGAACATGAGTCATTTACTAATAAACTAAATTTTGTGAAGACAAAGAGAAAATGTGCCAGGCCAGAAAATGGAGGATGAATGACGGACTATTTAGCTTCAAATTTGGCTCGTCTGTTTAAGAGCAGACACCAGGAATCTGATTCTTTTTTTTTTTTTAATTCAATACCAAAAGTTTTTTATTGGAGCAATTTAAGCTTTCAGTATCCAGATGACAAAATTACAAAATTACTCAGCCGTGTCCATTTGGCCAGTCATGACAGAAACAGAGAATGTGATTGGTCTAATGGAGATGACATTTTCCTATCTCTATGGAGAAGGTCACCACAAAGACAGCGAGAGTAGGTGCTAATGTCGCCCTGTCTCCTTTTTTTTTTTTTTTTGCCCATCCTGCTGCAGAGACAGACACATCCATCTGAAGCCATTAAAGTGGTGTTGACCTGCCCTACGACGTCCTGCTGTGATTATCATCTATTAAAGCCCAACACCTCTGAGACGGCATTCACCACGGAGACAGCTGGCTGAGAAGCTTAACTGGGCTCACTATAGGTTACACCTGCCGGTGCTAATGTGGTCAGCGACCATGGAATAAGTACAGCAAAGGCCCCGGCAGAATCCCTGGGGTAAATAAATGTGAAGCTAAACCGACAGTGCTGGGTTTTGCCTTATGTTTGTAGTCATTTCACAGGACTTAATCAGAGGCAGCACTGCAGGTTAATGTGGCTGGGATTAATAAATACTAGGACTGGAACTCATTCACACATCGCCAAAAAAACACACACAAAAAAGCCCCTAAAACCAGTCCTGGTACAGACACAAGAGCTAACGTTACCTACAACAGTCCTGGTATCGACACCAGAGCTAATGTTAGCTACAAATGTCCTTGTATCGACACTAGTGCTAACGTTAGCTACAAAAGTCCTGGTACCGACACAAGAGCTAACGTTACCTACAACAGTCCTGGTACAGACACCAGAGCTTACGTTAGCTACAACAGTGCTGGTACAGACACCAGAGATAACGTTAGCTACAACAGTCATGGCACAGACACCAGAGCTAACATTAGCTACAACAGTCCTAGTACAGACACCAGAGCTAACGCTCGCTACCACAGTCCTGGTACAGACCCCAGAGCTAACGTTAGCCACAACAGTCCTGGGACAGACCCCAGAGCTAACGTTAGCTACAAAAGTCCTGGTACCGACACAAGAGCTAACGTTACCTACAACAGTCCTGGTACAGACTAATGGTGTTACAGATGATGGGATTCTGAGACAAAAACACTTTCAAATAGTGAACAAATTGTGTATAATTATTTCAGATTAATCAGTAACTAAACCTCATAATAATTTAATTATTTTCTTAATTGCATCTCACCGGAAATAAATACAGATTTACTTTCATTTTTAAGGGGAAACTGCACCAGACACACACTCAACTATGAATTTATAAATGTTCACAGAACCAAAAAACGTTCTGCGAGCCTTTGAAAATGACTAAAGGGATCCATTTAAAAATGATTCTATGGTTTATTTTTTTAAGGCTCTCCTGCTACTACAGCTTAAAGGACAACTTTGGTGCAGTAAAAAACAAAGATAATACTCCAGTACAGGAACAACTAAAGGGTTCGGTTTGCAAAAATTGGAAAAACAACGTAACGACGAGTCGAAACACGGCTGCCACCGTAACTCACGTGAACGTCAGCACTCATTTTGTCAACTGTGGAATTTTTGACGTGATGTCATTTGGCCTGTGTTCATTATAAATGCAGCTCCATGATTGGCAGGCAGCAGATACATCCCCAAAACCTGAGCAGATAAAACTGATCTGGAAGCAGTTTTCATTAAACCTGCCATATGAATCCTGGTGAGTGACTTGATGGAGAGAAACAAACCTGGATGATTTCAAGGTTTGTTTTTGTTTTTTTCAGGTGCCTCTTCATCATCACTCATTGTATTTTCCTCGCTGTCAGCCACGCCCCCTATCTGGCACTGTTTGTCTTTGGGGTTTTGTCTTCTCTTCATTGAGTTTCTTTTTTTTCTCTCTCAGCGGTGTGTGCAATCAGTGGAAGACAATTCAATTCACAAGTCTGTCACTTGGCAAAACACAACCTGAAATAATGGATGGCAGTTGGTGTTGAGTCGCTCCAATTATAACCCAGTCCCTGCACCTGTCAGGGCATCTCTTTTGTCAGGGCTTTTCAAAGTCGAGCACCGGGGGCCTCACTCTAACCAGCCAGAATAAAAAAAAGAAACTATCTTCACATAATGTTCATACACGAGAACACACACACACACACACACACACACACACAGCAGCACAAACTGTTTTTACCTGAACTTCCTCAAAGACCTTCTACAGACAGAGCACTTCGGTCATCGAACCCACGCATTTTAGTTTTTGTAAAACATTATTCCTATTTTTTTTTTACATTTTCATTGCTTTAATTTTCCTATTTATCTGTTAATTTCTTTGCAATTTGCATGTGATCAGTCAGTGATAATGTCGCCAACTTTTTCCAAAGATTTGTAAGATGACGACACTATTTGTCTTAGTCCAAAAAAAAATTAAAAAAATTATATAATTCAATTTGGCAGAGTGGCCAATCAGCACTGACTTCATTATCCGACGTTTACGGAACACTCTGGAACACCAGTGAACATAACATGTCCATACAAACATCTGTATCAACCACTGCACAACAGGTCGGTCAACCCAGGTTGATGTTCGTTAACTAGTCTGGATGTTGCCCCGCACCCACCTCTCTTCATTCTCATTCTCGTCTAGTGCCTTGCTCTGGCGCCCCCCCCCCCCCCCCCCCCCAGGGAAGGCACGCCTTACACTTAAATTTTATAAAAACCCAATGTCATACACATTATATTTCATTTATTATTTCATGAGCGTTGTGGCTTCAAACTGCAGCACCGTCAGCCTGCATCCTGGGGGGAGGAGGGGGATGGGGGGGCACTCTCTCTCTCTCTCTGAGCACGCAAACTTACAGAGATGCATTCAGGTGTCCCCTCAGCCATGCGTTCAGAGTATTTCTCGTGCTGGGGTGAGGGAGCCAAAGTGGATGTGACGGGCTCAGATTAAATGCCAAAGTAGCGGCGTTTCTCACACACTCTGCAGCCTCTTGGACAGCAGCCTAATTAGGCATTTCCAGGCGCCGCCGTCAGCTCCCACCACTAAATGTTCCCTCCAAAAAAAAAAAAAAACACGTTTTTAATGTTACAAAATGTAACACAGCAACAGATTGAAGCGCCGAAAGTGAAAGGAGGTCGAAAAACAGTCCAATTAGTTTAGTTTAGATTTCACTCTTTTCACACGTTGATCTTTGACATTTTCTTAATTTCTCAGCGTTTCTGAACCTCACTGTCGTCACATTTTCTTTCGTCTCTCAGCTCCATCTGACAAAAGCTATTTCAGGTTCTTAATGCCATCTTTCTTATTGCAACAGCTTGTTTGTCTATGGCATCAAAAGGTCAGGTGCTTCTTTCAGACTCAGGATTCTCAGACATCATCTGCTTCTCTGATAAAATGTTTTTTTTTTGTTCCTTTTTTTTTAATATTTTCCCAACGAGCACAAAATCAGAACATCTTCATTTCTATCAGACCGGATGTCTGTTCATGTGACTTGCTGTAAACATATTGGACAGGAAATAAATCAGATTATGGACTGCGTGGGATAATGTTCAATAATAAAAAGTATTATTTGCCGAGATCAATGTGTGTCGCAGCAGCAATAAAGTACAATGAATGGAAAGTGCTGGAAGCCCGCAGTAAATTTTGATGTGTTGTGATATTGAACACACTGTGACAACACACCGCCTGCCAAGGCAGTAAAACATCTTCAAACAGGCTGCGAACATCTTCCCTCTAACATCCCTGCTCCCCGCAACCGCCATACATCAAACCCAGGCCACAGCGTGGGAAGAAGTGCGTGAAGAATGACATGACAGGTTGGACAGTGAGTGTGTGTGTGTGTATTACAGGTGAGCTGAATGAACATACATACAAGACCAAGTCAAAATGTTCTTTCATTTCATATCATTTTCATCTATATATATATAAAAAACACAACAAGATGAACATTTTCTGACAGACAAAAAAACAGACAATCAACCTTTAAAATGTCCTGATGGCACTTGTAAATTAATAAAATAAAATAATACTCAAAGTTTCATAAAAAACACAATTACGGTACCGTGTTGTTGGCGCACATGTTCCAATCCTCAAAAATAAATATTTGTTTCCGTACTCACCGATCCTCGGTAAAACAGCCACGTTTAGCCAAGATTCGCAGACGTTTCCTCCAACCCTCTGTTTCGCGGAAACCGTGCGACGAGATGGAGAAACCGGTCCTGGAGATACATCTGTGTACAACAAGAACGGCTGTCATAATCGGAGCGCCCCCTTCAGGATGTAGGCTTTGAGGCAAACTGAACAGGAAAATTAACATTTTAATTACAAGAATAATTAACTCATTAACTCAATAATTCACTCCCATAACGTTCATATTAGACGACTTAGACGATTATTTATAATATATTGTGGGTGCGATAAAAAAAATCATAAACATATTCTTTCTTTTTCTATTAACCCTTCTATTTTGATCATTTTATATTTCAGTCCTTTTGGAGCCGAATGTGTTCATGCAGTCATTTTACATTTAATTTATTTATGTATATATTTATTTGAGCTTTTTTCTCTCATATTTTTGTTTTGGTTTAGAGCAGGGAAATTAAACTTTAATTAATTTTTTGTCGTAGATATGATAACACACGTAAATAAATGTTTTGTGGCTTTTGGTAAATAAAAACTCGGACAAAAATATCGTACACCAGATACTGAAACTGAAATATTTTCTTACGTAATACACCTCATATCGTCATCGCGATATTGAAGATCGTCACACATCGTACTCAAATCGTGCAAACCTACTTCATATCGTCACCCGTTCACAACAAGTGTTCGTACTCACTCAGTAAAGATACATCTTCAACACCCACGCAGACTCTGTCTTCCGGGTACCGATAGCTGCTAGCTAACTAGCTAACCGTCGTACTTTTATCCACGTCCGTCTTCTCTCTCTTCAGTCGCCCACTCCCTCGCAGAATCCGATACGCGATTAACGGTCATCTGTAACATCTGCTAATTGGCTAACAACCAATGATTACCAAAATAAACAGCAGAAACGGCACGAGACATTCAAAGACACCAAATAAACCTCGGACATTTTAGTATTTTCCGAAATTCCAAACCTTACATTCCACTATATTTATTGAGAAACACGCGTTTATGGAAACCAAACGTTACCATTTGTAGCAAAATAGTCATATTCAGCCATGAACAGGTTGATAAACCTGAGATGATTCGTGAATTTAAACCCTTTTTTCTTCCCAACAGTGCGTGTAAATGACAATGAACGTTAAGACCACTGTTATTAATAGATATAGATTACGTGCCGATCAATTTCTCAAGTTAATTATTGCTGTACACTTTGACGCCCTCTAACTTTTTTAATCTCTGCTGCAGATCAGGGAGTAAGAAGGAAAAAGAAAAAGAAAAAAAAAAACAGTTGTTGTGCATTATGTAAACTCTCTCCTTAGGTCAGGGGTAATTATCTGCTCTGCTGAAACGCTGGTGTTTCACTCCTGCACTAACACTGAAAGAAGGTAGAATTAGGGTATTGTTGTCACAGTTTACAATGGAACCCAACAATTAGCATTTCTAATCACTCCCCTAAGTCCACAGCCTGTTAATTGTCTTGGGCAGCTTCCAGTTCTCTATTACTGAATAATTGGACAGCACAGTGGGCCATCACCGAGCGCCTCGCTCTTGCCAAGGGAGAGGTGAGAGCATTATTGATCCTGTGTCTGAATCTCTGATCAATCACCTCAAATCAGCCCCGAGGGAGGGGTGGAGGGAAACCAGGTGACAGAGGATATCTCCATGACCATGTGTAAATTAATCACAACCGAGGACCAGGGACGTCCACGTGCGTCGGCCGTTCAGATTTCCACTGAACGAGACGATCGCACCGATCGGAGGATCGCTCGGTCAGATTTTTTCGTAAAGCCTCTCGCGACTCTCCCGGTGACATCACAGGCGGAGGAGTCTGCCGTGGCTTCCTGTAATTGAGTTAAATAAATGATTGTGTTTCCAGTGGTGGTGGTGGTGGCCATGGCCCTCAGCTTTATGCCTGGCTAGAGCCACAGCCGATTTAATTAATTTTTAATTAGGAGGGAAAATTGCAGGCCTATTCCAGGAGGACCTTTAAGACATCTGTGCACTGGAGATAACATTCTTAAATACTCTCCACCGCCCGACAGGCGCCACTTTCAGGGTGGTGCGACTCTCGTGGTCCAGGTCCAGGGGAGGTGGCGTTGGTGCGGCGACGGCGTTCTGAGTATGTGACGAGATCAGGAGGCTGTTGGTAGTCGGAGTCAAACCTGAGAAGATTTTGGTCCATCGGATGTCAGCGCCCCTCAACTTTGGAAAGTTAGAGAAGAAATATTGTGACAAACCTAGTACTTCCTGTTACTCAGAATATTATATTTTCATACTCAAGATTTTTGTTGAAAATATTGTCAGGAACCCAAGCCTTCAGTCTTGACTGAATGAAACGCTCCCTGTTGTTTTTGTCCTTACATGACAGTGTGTTCTGGCCTTGGTTTACTGATAAATAATAACTAACGAACACACATCCAAGCTCCACTTCACTCAATGTGAAAGTTGAGAATAAGTCAGAACAGTCTAAGTCAAAATTAGAATTTTCTTTTTTTTTTTAATCGATTCCATCTCAGCATTTCTTAGAACTTAGACTTTTTGACCTTTGTATCGACTCTAAATTTGGAACAAAAATGTAGATTTTCACTAACAATGTAAACAAACAGCTGACCAGAAAAGAATAAATCTGTAAACTCTATAACGAAGCAGAACCAACTGACAGAATTCACACTGATGTTTGATCACATTTAGGACGTGTAAAAACCAGTGCCTTGATTTGTCTATAGAACTGGACCGTCCCTGGGTGGGCTCGAACCACCAACCTTTCGGTTAACAGCCGAACGCGCTGACCGATTGCGCCACAGAGACTGGTGACTGACCTCCGACCGATTGCGCCACAGAGACTGGTGACCAACTTCTTCAAATCACCTGATACGACAGATATCTGTAGTGAGTTCTTCTTCCTGTTTCCTTCTCTGGCCTGAGATTCCTTCGATGTTCTCGTGGAAGACGTTCCTCGATGGTTTGGATCGGTACAGAACTCAAACTGATCCGTCACAGATCAGAAGAATGCAGGTCCTGGAAATCAGAAGCTGGAATTCACCGCTCGTTGGTTTGATTGTCTAATTATAAATTAGCCTCCAGTGAAGGCGTTGTTTTTGCAGACATACATTTTTTTTTTTTTACGTTTCTGAATTAGCTGCGCACCGTTGGGACTCAGCCAGTCGTCCACAATCACGGCCGTAACCGTCTCTTATAATGAGCCACGTAACATGGTTCTGTTCTGGTGATTAATATTGTTGTCAGGTCCACTCATGCCCCCCTCCATTTCCATCCCTCCCCCTGCCTCCCGTCACAGTCTGCCAACTATGGTGGAAATAAAAAAAAAAAACAAAACCCAGAACCCAGGGCTCTTCCAAACAAAGTCAACCTTCAAGCACACTTCCAAGTGCTCAACTTATTCAACTTATCTTTGAGCCACAACACGCCAACAGAGGAGGCGCTGTTTCAAATTCCCGCTGCGGTAATGCAATATGGGATGTCTTTGTAGAAGAGAGAGCGGCGTTCCACTGGGAATCCCAGCGTCTGGATGTTTCTCTAGCCTGCGTTACAGAGCTCACGATGATGTTCACCGACTCCAGACACACACAGCTGTGATGTAGCTGCCTGCAGATACGCCTTTGGTTCCTGTCTCTGTGGTTCAGGGACCTCCGGAGGACTGAGCGCCACGGGTTCTCGGCTATCATCGGGGTACGGCTTTCAGACAAAAAAAAAAAAAAAAAGAAAGAAGAAAAACATCTGAGGGAGTGTTTGTATGATTTTGTTCAGGGAACATGTTGCGGAACATTGAACAGAGTTGTAGTTGTTTTGTGAGTCTCAGCAGCGGTGGTTGCTTTTGGGCGGAGTTGTTTGAATACGAACACGGTTCTCCAGGAAGAACCGTTATAAGAACAAGTAGAACAAGGACAAAAGAAAATTGTACAAAACTGAAAGAAAAAGAAAAAGAAAAAAAAAGAAGCCATTCTCATTTTCAATGGTGCCAGAACAGATCCGTCCAATCAGCATCAAGAAGCCAAACGTCCACAAACACTGACTCACCCTGAAACCTTCAGGCCTTCACTGAACCATGTGCTAAAGCTCAGAAAAGGCTTCAACAGTGTTTAATACACGCTGCTGCTGCAGTAACGTGTGAGAGGAAGAACTCATCACTGCATTTCAAATCTTTTTTCGTTGACATGATGTTAAGTAAATCTATATGTGTTTGACATTATAGTTATTGTATCTTAATAACAATATTTTGAGAGACATTTTTCTAAATTAGGTAAGTAGCATCCAGGAGGGGGCACTGTTTTGGCATAGGCTGCCATGTGTTTTGTTTGACCTCCTCCAACACAAATTAGCGAGAGCGAAGCTCAAAACAAAAAAAACTAAAAACTACAATCATTCAAACTCAAGTCTGATACAACATTTACTATGTGTGTGTGTGTGTGTGTGTGTGTGTG